CTTCATTGCATTTAATTTACTCTTCATTTCAATCAACGAAACACTCATTAATTTTGTGCACATTTTGTAAAATAAATTAATAATTAACAAAATGATTTTAAAAATTTTAATAAAACCCTAATTCAACAAAACACGTGTAATGCATGCGTCCAGTGATCGACCATTTGTTTACTGAATTATCTGATAATACATTTTAATGTCTTATAAACCAGTTTTGCATTAAACTGTTTAGATAAGGGTTGATACACATACTGTGTGCCTGAGTTGGCATTTCAAGTAAATTATGGTAAATAATATCATATTATAATAATCATAACAGAATTTATTTAATAACGATATTTGCAATAAAATAATTAAAATAAATACAATATTATAGACATTAACAATCCATACAAACAACACTAAATTTGTGTATCAATTGATTGAAATTCAATGTAATTTAAAATTATTTATATTGATTTGATGCAATTATAAAGTTTAGAGTAATAAATTTACTAAATTTTAACTTATATAATTTAAACATAATGCATTCAAAATATTAACTCACTTTTATTAACATGGGTTTTATGCCAATCAGTGATTGCCAATCACTTGAAAAGCAACTGAATTACAATACATTATTGGTTTGTGTGTCCATACAGTAAGCTGTAGATTGAAATCAATATATTGATCCGTTTAAGACATCCATTGATCGGCAATAACCCAACTAATCTTAAAAGTCTTAATATATTCCTATTATATCTGTTATAATCAATGGATGACAACGAATGCAATTCATTATCAAACCATACAATGGTTTGTGTCGTGAAATCAATTGCCAGAGATTTTGGATGTCATGTCTTTGTAGACAATGTAAGGCTTAATGGGTTTGACATGAGTTTGGTTTAGTTGAAAATTAAATTAATTAATATAACAACTATTGAATTTAATTATTTTAAACTTGCATTGAATATAAGCATTCAAGATATAAATTTAGAATGTTATTAAAACATTTTTATTGATATAATATTACAATTAATTAATACAGAATAATAATAATTGAAAACTATGAAAGTATTTAATGTTTTGATTTTATGTGTCTATTTAATCCTCTTTTACTATGATAGGATTTGTGACAATTATTCACATGACATTTAAATGGATTTATATTTAAATGTTTGGCATTCATGTGATCTGTTAATAAATTTTTAGTAATAAAACATTTATCGCAATCATTTGAAAGACATTTATATTTCCGTATATTTGTGTGAATTCTTCTTTTGTGATTCCATAGACTCGAGGAATCACTAAATGTTTTGTTACAATCATTGAAATTACAAACAAATAGCTTTTCTCCCGAATGAATGCGTTTGTGAACAATAGCATATGACATACGCTTGAATTTTTTGCCACAATTTTCTTCATTACATTTGAATTTCTTTTTATTCAAATGAACACAACTTTTGTGTGAAATATATTCATTTTTGTTGTAAAACTTTTGTGGCATTCAATGTGTAATTTATTTAGACAAAAATATTTTACAAGTGATAAAATATTATAATAAAATAACTTTAAATTATAATTAGCATTAAATTATTATTTAATTTTATGGTAATTTCTTAAATGGTGAGCTAACCCGTCTTTAACTGCATATGATTTGTGACAATTATATTCAATACATTTGAATGGCTTATCATTTAAATGAATACGTTTTGTATGATTTATTAATTCATATTTCTGACTAAAAGTTTTGTCGCAATCACTTGAAGTGCATTTGAATTTCCGGATATTTAAATGAAATCTCTGTTTATGTCGCCATAGATTAGCAGTTTGTTTGAAGCTTTTGTTACAATTTTTAAATTCACAAATAAAAAGTTTTTCTCCCGAATGTATTACTTTGTGTACAATTAATTGTCCCTTTGTTGTAAATTTTTTGCCGCAATTTTCTTCATTACATTTGAATTTCCTTTTATTTAAATGAACGCAACTTTTGTGTCGAAATAAATCGGATTTATGTTTAAAACTTTTGTGGCATTTATTGAAATCACAAATAAATTTCACATTTAAATGAACTCTATTTTTGTGTTGAATTAAACCTTCATTTTGTGCGAATTTGTTATTACAATTATTAAAATCACATTTAAATTGTTTTATTGATGAATGAATTAATTGATGTTTTGTAAGATTGCTTTTAGTTGTTGTCTTGTATTGACATTTAGGCCAAAAACAGT